ATTGGATGAAATCACTATTTTTTTAAATCTAAAATACTTAGAAAACAACAGTATTAATTAATAGGATTAATTGCAATATTGACGATACATTTGTTAGAATTTTATTTTAGAAAAATGTGTTTAGTAATTAAATGTATTTCTGTCACATTGATTGTTTTCTAATAGGTGCTGCCCCTTAGCGGTAAATATTTGAACTTTAAAACGCTAAAATTCTGGTTTCGATACCTTTGGTGATCACAAATACCTCATTGTGTACCTTTGCGCTTAACAACAACAAAAACAAAACAAGACCCGGCATGGCCAGGTGGTTAGGGCGCTCGACTCGCAATCTGAGGGTCGCGGGTTCGAATCCCCGTTTCACCAAACATGCTCGCCCTTTCAGCCGTGGGGGCGTTATAATGTGACGGTCAATCCCACTACTCGTTGGTAAAAAGAGTAGCCCAAGAGTTGGCGGTGGGTGGTGATGACTAGCTGCCTTCTCTCTAGTCTTACACTACTAAATTAGGGACGGCTAGCGCAGATAGCCCTCGTGTAGCTTTGCGCGAAATTCAAAAACAAACAAAACAAACAAAATCTAATATGTATTAAGCCCTTATATTTTAAAATACTTTTATCTTGATTCTAAATATGAAAAACAAGCTTATCACTTGATGCTGGTATTTAAAAACCCATTGTTAAAGCCCTCTTATACAATACCCGCAGATTTTGTGCCCCTATTAACCCGTATCTTGTTATCAGTGGGGGTTGTAGACTGGCATTTAGTTCATAAGTAGAACATTGACATGCGCAAAAGCCTGTTCTTGACCTTCAGACTCGTCTTACTTTTGATATCGTTTTATTAACTTGAGGGAGTTGTTGGTCTCTGGGCTTTTATTTTTTGTTACACGTTGTCATAAAGGCCATAGAAGAGATCGCATCACACAAGATTCAGGTTACCGTTGTCTAACCTGCAAATTTTTATTATTACTTTAAAATAAACCCGCTGTTTTCATGTTTTTAACCGTTTCATGTTAATGAATACACTCATTATTTAGTTTGCAGATTCGTGATATTACAAAACAACAACATCAATAACCAAAAAACCAAAAACCGTGTAAGTTATATTTGGCTTAGTGTATTACAATGGATGTTTTCTGCCTTACATAATATTTTAGTCATATGTGAATGTCAGGAAGCCATAGTTAGTTTACAATCCGATAACTATCACCCAATCCCGATGGCCCAGAGAGCTTATAACGCCAAAAAAATCGGGTTTCGATACCCGCAATGCAGGGGTGGAAGAAGCAGTATTTGATTAGTCATGCAACTCTGAATAGTGTGCAAAGCATGCTAGTGGTAGGAGGGTCTGGGGGCATACTCCCCAGGAATATTTTGAAAAATAGGTGCTCTGAGATTGAACTTTGTGCTAATTTTACTATATGTTATTGAAAGTATTAATCATTTGCAAGCACTTTTTTATGATTCATAAAAATAGGAGCTCACTGGCACTTGTACTCACTATAGCTATAAAGAAGCACTAGCATGTACACAGTAATTTATTACCTCCGTCCATCTTCTGTGGCAGAGATTGTTTTCACCCCTGTGTTTGTCAGCAAGATCTCTCGAAAACGGCTGAATGGATTTGGACGAAAGTTGTTTACATTTGGACTGTGACCCAACTCAGAAGTGATTAGTTTTTGGAGGGTGAAGGTCACGGCAAGGTCATTAAAATGAAAAATAAAATTCCTACCTGTTAACATTTAGACCGATTTTTCACACTATTTTCGGTCTATAGCTCAGTGAAAAACGATCAAATTTTGATGAAGATTAGTGGACTTGTGTAGAATATTATTCCTTATTCTCCTGCCAAAAATGGTCCGTGTTCGTTGATAACAACGGACATAGGAGACATTTTCATATGTTTTTGAGAGCCGAATATGATCAACGCTGCGTGACCCTCTAGGGGGTTATACTGATTCATGCATACTACTGTAAGTTTATCTATTTACTTCAATTTTCTGAAGTACAAGTTAAAGTTTAAAAAGCACCTATAGTTACGGTGACGAAATATTGGTCCGCCTACTGCCAGATCTGCCGGACCTGCTCCGGCGCATATGCGGTGGGCAGAACACATATAGCCCATTGTGTAGCTACAACAAACAAAAACTCGATAGCTAGCCAAGTTACGGTTGGAGTATGAACAGAAATTATTACACCACTGCTTTCTTTCAGCTTATTTTTACGACAAATCAGATACTAATTATAATAATAAAAATGTGCTAATAAACACGTATTATTCAACCATGTATATTCCAGATTTTCTTAATAGTCTGATGATTATGTAACAAGGATATATGTTGTTTTAGTGATATTTCGGGTTATCTGAAAAACATATCAAGTAGAATACTATTGTAACAAGTATTTGGTATTTTCACCTATACACGTGGGCTAAACGGCCAGGTCAGAGACACTTAGGATTCAGAAATATAGCTGTCTCTGATTTTAAACTACTGACCGAAGGGAAGACAGCCAGTCAGTAACGTCCCTCACTGGAAAGACTTCGTCCGGCTTTCAACCGAATAATGGAATTGAGTGTCACTCTTCTAATCAGCGGTATGTTTGCGGATTTACAATGCTAGAAACCGGACTTCGATACCCGTGCAGCTTTGTGCTTAACTACAAACAAACACTCTTCTGACGCATCCACAGCTGAAAGCGTGAAGAGTTTCATTGTCATCGCAACCCAAACCTCGGACCTTGAGGTCCACATCCCTTTATGCTAATTAATCACTAGGCCAAGCCCAGATCAGTATCAAAACAACAACATACTCTTAAATGTTGCCCAACACGCGTATTATAATGAGATGATAAACTTTAACGACCATACAGCGTTAATTCACTGTTTCGACAGTCATTTCGACGGATCAACTCGTAACAAAGATTAAACTCCCAATTTTGAGTGAGGTTGTAATTCACTATTAACTAATTAATTTTCAAATATCTTTATCGGATAATGAGGAGTAAGAGTAACACTGGGTTAATTATTCTAAAATGTAAACACGTTTAGGTAACGATGTAATAACGTCTGAAGCATAATAACTGTTGTGGTAATAATAGTGCTGTGAGTTTTATGGTAATAATAAAGACATTTGTTTATGAATATTTATGAAATATTCGTATAATATTCCGTATTTCATAAGCTACCGTATTTTTCGGTGTATAAGACGCACTTTTTTACCCCACACTTTGTCAAAATCTACTTGCGTCCTATACACCGAAAGTATGAATAATATATATGTATATATACGATATACACAAGCCATGTGTAAATATATTTAAATAGGCATGCATAGTTTAGTTTAATTGAATGTGTTATTTATAACAATAGTAGTTTTTTTCTTCTTTTAGTTAAAAATATAACTATTTATAATGCTCTCTAAATAAAAAAAAAATAAAAAATTACAGTGAAAGCAATGAAGATTTTGTAGGTTTTGAACCAAACTAAATAACAGTAAACCTTTTTTTGATTTACGGGGTTTTCTTATTTTGATGTTTTGAGCTCTTTTGTGTTTAAAACAATATATACTAATTTTGAAAGTATCAAATTGAATTTTTGTTTAATAAAAATCATTCAAATGCGACTGTAGCTCCCCCCCCCCCAAAAAAAAAATGTTTGTCTTCAAAATAAGGGTGCGTCTTATACACCGGTGAGTCTTGTATTCCGAAAAATACGGTATTTTATCTGTCAGGAAGAAGGTTTTCAAAAACGTGTTTCAAATACCCACTTATTTGAAGTGAAAACTTTAAAACGGCGAAACTTAGATATAAGCGCAGTTGGATTTTGCTTGTTACGAAACACTTATGTGACGAATGAGTGTTAAAATCTATCTAGGTAACTACGGAGAGACGCAGCGTAGCGAAGGCTGCATCCAGCTCTTTTATGTTTTCAAACTATAGCGTTAATGTTGATTTTGATACACAGATGTCGCGTGCAGTAACCAATACGTACGCTGTAATCTTCCAATAGCAACACAACAGCAGCCTATGCTAGTTCCCGCCCTCGTGGTACTGACGAAGGCTCTACCTTGTACACCTGCCTCTGTAAAAACAGTTATATAAAGTAAGCATTGGTATATAGTAATATCGCCACAGATGTCAATACACTTTCGAGGCCGCAGCTACATCCTCTTTTAACATTGTATCGTTTTGCCCTCTATTGGTAGCTAACGTAACTATCATATGAATGTATATTATTATTATTATTATCATCAAATTCAGTTAGTATAAATATTTTATGTCTTCGGGCATAATTCAATGTCTTGATTTGTTTATAATAACATTTGTTATTGTGATTGCTTCATAAAAATTATATTTTTCAGTATTTCCTTTTTTAATTTTAGGAAAGTTAGGATCTTTCAACATGCCTTGCATTTGTTATTTATGATTTTTCTTAGCGTAATATTTCTTGTTTGTTTATCTACACCACAATGGTTTAGAGTTCTGTATTTATTACGGAGGTTTAGTATTATGTTCATCTTTTTTGAAATAACCAAATTATTCAGTCTATTTCAGCATTACTGAGCTTTTACATTGACAACTAGGCATTATGGTAATTGGGAATGCCTAAGTACTGAGCTATTAGTATTGAAAGAATGATTTTTCGTTTATAAAGCTCGTTTATAAAAGCATTTTGAATAATATTGTTAAGCTAGGCTGGAAGATTAATCAGCAGCCTCTCATAGTCAATACTTTACATCTGTGCGGAATGCAAATTCACTAAACCTAAAGTGTTAAGAAGTTGAGTTAATTTTATGTTGTTTTCTTCTTTTCTTTTTGTGAAATTTTCAAAATAAGCCAATAGTGTGTAAGTTCGTACGTTTTTAGTTTAATCATCGAATTGTAATGGATAAAACAATGCGGTTCAGGAAGTGATTAGATAGGTGTAGATAAGACACGTGAACTTGTATTTCTTTAGCCCTATAAAAAGAGATAAAGCGTGGAATATTTTTTTCCCACTCTAGATCCTAGTATTGTCCAATTCTCTTCAGAAAACCATTACAAGACCTCTCAGTCTCAATACTTTGTGGAGTCTCCAATCCAACAAAAGCCGCATAGTACCCAAAACATTATTCAACACAAAAGGAGTTCTTCCCATTCAGTTACACAGTCAGACTCATTCCCTCCGTTACCCCGTCCTACACCTTCAGCTCATTCCAGCCACCCTCACGTTTCGAGTACCAGTTATTTGGGACCATCTCCTAATCTCCATGAACATCCTCAATTCTCCTCCAGTAACGTTTCTTTGACAAGACCATCTTCATCCTCATCAACATCTCCTTCCTCTTCTGGACTTCACTCACCTGTTGGTAAACCTCCCGCTACCCCCCCAACATCCGTTATTACTGCAGCTCATAGCAGCAGCAACTTTGGAGATGATCCGTCCTTTTATGTTGAAGATCTCTCTTTCCAACCAAAAGTAAAAAGAAAGGTAATTATAACTAAGATTTTTGTCTTTTGTTAAAAAAAACTCTCGTTGGTTATACTTTTTAAAACCGAGCAACAGTTTAAACCTTTAAATGTATTTCATTATGAGCACTTTTTACACTCTATAAACTTCAGGAGACACACACATTGGTAATACTCAAGTAGTTTATATATTTCTTATTAATTTTTAATGTTTATTACTTCTATTAGTCCGATTCGCTGTTATTGGGTTAAAAGCTTATCCAAAATCGTCAATTTTAATAAATTTGGTTAGACATCTTTCAGCATTATAACGTTTCCTGTCAATCCCACTTTTTGTTGGTAAAACAGTAGCCCAAGAATTGGCTGTGAGTAGCTGCCTTCCCTCTACCTAGTCTATCACTTAGAAATTAGAAACGACTAAACAGAAAACCCTTGAAAAGCTTTGGGCGAAATTCCAAAAAATAACCATATTAACTGCTTTCCCTATAGCTGCAGGAATCGAACCCTAACACTTAGAGTGATAAGTCCTCAAAGTTTCCGCTAAAGCCACTGAGAAGAACAACGAATTTAGGTGGCACTTACTTTTTAATTCCATTCAATCTGTTGTATTTACTTTGAACAAAGACGACACTATTGTAGAAGAGACAATTACAGAAAATACATCTTTCGTAAAAGTCATGGGGATATAAACTACACATTAACGCGCTGGTTCATATTAACCGCATGCTCGCCCTTTGTGTTTAAACAGACAAACAAACAAAACTTAAAGAAGTGACACGGCCTCTAACTGTTAGCATCTAATGTTGTTAATTTTCATGATAAGCTTGGATCCTAATTGATCTTGTGTTTGGTTTTTTAGAATGTATTTTACTTATTACAGGTCGAAAACCTAAGAATTCTGAAAGTGGGGCAACATACGTGAAAAGAAAGAGCAGAGAAAGTAAGTTGGTAAAATGCTACAAACAAGTTCGAACATGTATCCCATATCCTGACAGCCTTATATAGTTGGGGATAATAACGTGAAATTAATCATAGTGTTTTCCGTTAGAGGGCGAGAGATTTGTTATTTAGTGACGGTTTGAGAAGTTTTAAGTATTTAGTTACAATAACACGTGTTTAAACTCATTTTTTGTCACTGGTAGTGAAGCACATTTTGTGGTTTTTATACAGTTTTTTTTAGGTTTTGTTCACTGCATAACTCAGGTCAAAATGCTGCAGAATTTGTCCGTCTGATTGTCCGTATAGTTCTCTGTACAATTGTACGTATATAGATCTATGTATGCGTATGTCAGTGTGTGTATTACCTTTTAATTCATTCGTCTTTGCACATTTATAACTTTTTTATCTATTCTTGTTAATCTATTCATCTGCTACCGCTGTTAATATGTGCGGTTATAGTTTTGTTGTTGATATTTATTTCCGTATATGTTTTCAGTTATATATGTCTGTCTGTTAAATTTAGCTTCCATTTATCTATTTCAATGTGTTTCTAATGCGTTTTCTATTTTGCTTTGAGCGAACAAAAGTGAAACGTGCATGCATGAAAATATATGCGTTTTTGATAATTGATCAATTAATCTGCCAGTCTGTCTTTTTCTATGGGACGGTGAATGTGTATTTGGAAACATGTAACATTAGTTTTATTTTTTTCCTATAGGTGCGACTACCTATTTGTGGGAGTTTCTACTTAAACTTTTACAAGACAAAGAATACTGTCCACGCTACATAAAGTGGACAAACAGAGAAAAAGGCATATTTAAATTAGTTGACTCAAAAGCCGTTTCTAAACTCTGGGGTCTTCATAAAAATAAGCCAGACATGAACTACGAGACAATGGGTCGAGCTCTCAGGTGAGGACTTTGATTCCATTTTACACTGTTAATCTAGCTCAAACCTTTGACCTATGTCTGTGATTTAACTTGACTCTTCAAACCTTTGACCTATATCTGTGATTTAACTTGATTCTTCAGTCGTTAAGCGTGATGTTGTGTCAATGAAGAATAACTTCAGTATGAAGGAATAAAACATTATCGAAGATTTAGTCTCTTTCTTGTATCAGCCTGTGATAACTGATAATTCTTATTGAAAAATCTCGTAGTGTTCTGTTTTAAACATATTAAATTGAAGAACAGAGTCGAAAAGGTTTTCGCCTAATATTAATTTTTAAAAGTTTGAAATCGTTTGAAAGTTTGAAATCGAGAAGTCTATGTGATATAAAAATAGATTAAGGTAAAAAGAAGCATAAACAAACCTAGAAGCTGTATACAGTAATATTACTACAACATTTTAACAAGAACAGGTCTGAAAGTTAAACATTTTTCTCTATATATTTTTTTGAGCATTATAGTAAGAAAAAATTTCAATAGAAATAATTGGTGAAGCAAGTTATCATCTGAAAAATAGCTATAAGAGAAATTACCAAAATGATCAAGAAAGTCGCAGGAAAGTAGAAGCATTTATATGGCTATCTGAAACTTTGTTGTGATTCCAAAAAAAGTGATATGTTTTGTATTTATATGAACTTTTGATGATAAATCATAACTATTTAAACAATACGGAAAAATATGTCTTTTCAGGTATTATTACCAAAGAGGAATCTTAGCAAAAGTTGACGGCCAAAGACTGGTTTATCAGTTTGTTGACGTTCCAAAAGACATCGTCGAAATTGACTGTTCTGGTGCTTGATGTAATTTCTGGTTATTAACACTTAACAACAACTTTATATTTATGTGTTCAGGAACATCTGATTTTACAGTTGCATATTGAAGAGGTGTGTTTGGTTTATTGCTATTGGTAAAAAACAAAACAAAAAAACCAGAGAGGGGGAAAAAAAAGGCATTTCACACATTATAACAGGAATAAACTTTACGAGAAGCGATTTTTGTGGTCGTCTTTGAACGACAGAAATATTGGTCATTATTGAAAGACTGCTGAAAAGATGAAGAACATTCTGTTGAAACTGTTTTTGTATGTACGAGGGATACGTAATGTTCATCATTATCCCGGAAATATTCCTAACAATCTTAATTATTTTTTCTATGAACTTTGTCGATAGTGTAGCGACTGTTAATCAATTTAGACAATGTCGATTACGAAGAAATTGAGTTAAAATTTTGTATAAAAATAAAACCAAGGGATATGACCAGAAATGATGAATAATATCAAATATTCATTAATGAGATTTTATATTGTACGTGTACGGAATACTGACTAGGTTTCTTAATGTGTCTCGCATTTTGTCACCAAGAAATCTATGTTTGTAATATCTCATTCTTCATTTAAGATTGTCTCGGTAATCAAGTAGAAATATTGTTGTGTTGTATACACACAGTTGGGAAACTGTGTCAGGCGGTAAAGTGAAATATAACCATTTTAAAACGTGTGATCGTTTGTCTATTTTAAATTTTGTGGATTGAAATATGTATATAATGATGTATAATGTATTTTTGGTTTAATGTTGTGATGAAAATCGATACGAGTTCTATATAAATAATGTGTTTTTAGCGTTCGTTTACGACTATTTAAGAAAAAAAAACGAAACGAAAGTATAACATTGATAGAGTTGTTCTTATAATGTTCCTTTAGAAAGCTATTACTTAAAGACCCATATCTCTTCAAAATAAAACAAAAGGACAGCAAAAATGGTTTCGTAATTTCTGGTTTTTGTAAATTAGCATATGTTAAATCAACTTAGATTTGCAGTTTTTCATTCGCAATTTTGGTTCATGTTACATAATGAAAACGTAACAAAATGGATTGGGTAAATTGTAGAAACTGGTAGATGTTATACTTTACCTTATTTAAATATGGGAATCTATACCTTACTCTGCCTGCTATACAAACTGTAGCTAGGTTACGTGATTTCGTCGTTTCTTCTTCTTGTGTACCGACTACAACTTGTGCCTTGATGTACTTCTCTTTTCACAACTTGTTGATACTATTTAAAGTATATTTGAGCATTCCGATGACCTGGTTATATGTACATAAGACACATGGCTACTGTGAAGTAGTCAATTTGTTATAATCAGTGAAATAAAATTTTTCCTTTACGGTTTTTTACTTGTTCCCTAGATATGTCGATGACTAAAACTTGTTTTGTAAATAAAGAAATTAGGTTTATAAATAAATATAGATTATATATATATATATTGACATTAGATGAAGATTTGTCTGTATTGATCAACAAAATAAGGAATGTTATCTGGACATTGTTACTACTCGATAATATTTTTTTACAGTTGGCTGGCGATTAGTTTGTATTTGTCTTGCGAATGAACGTAAATTGATAAGACTGATTAAGGTCAGACATAAGAAGCGACAAAATGTAGAAAATAAACCTTTTATCTTGTAAGTTTAAAATCACGGTGCTAACTATAATAGGAAAGCATTATATATAACCTTGGGCTATGGTATATATATATATATATATATATATTGTAATAAAAAGTATCCATCACTTTTATATAAATGAGAGAATATTGATTTTAAGAGTTAAATTTATAATAAATTCAAACCAACCTTTTTTTTTCTAGATGTCGTATTCCAACGAGCGGGTAGTTGAAATCTGTTATTAATTAACTTTTTTAAAGACAAGATACCAAATCTTAATTTATTCTTGTTTGCATAAAGATAGTAAATCACTGAATTTTGTGAAGATTTTTTCAAATACTTAATTTTAATATATCTATACACATATACATAACCCCCCCCCCCCTTCCATAAAGGAAAAAATTAAACCACAAATAACACAACAAATCTTTAGGGTTAAGCTGTATTGTATGTTTATGTAATCCAATTTTTCTAGACTTGATCTCTTAAATCTTCCCACATAAAAAGGTCGCATATGAAACATTATTTAATAGTCTTAATAACTTTATTGGAAGGTTTTGTATGTATACGATCCTATTCAGAATAGGAATTGAAGTTAAAATGTTACTGCAGTACTGCTCATTTCCGCCCAAAATGGACGAAATTACTTAAAGAGAATACTGCCAGAATAATATCGTAAAATATTTATTGAAAACAATGGGTGTATTATAAAACTTTGGACATATTTGTACAATTTTCTTTCCTACAGTTCAATAATAATAAAAAACATTTTTCTTCTATCCAAATGAAATATTTCTTTTACATTATGGACTTACGAACAGTGAACGTTCATTTGACTGTGAAGCAGCACGTGCATCCGTGAAAGTGTTATTGGTGTGTATTTCATTAGATAGAAGAAACACGTTTCCAGTGACGTCTAAATATGGTAATATAAGGGTATGGTCTTGGTAGATTTGTCAGGATGTATAGCGACTGAATAATTTGTAATTGTTATGTAAAAGATGTTTAATATTTTGTTTTAACCTCGTGTAATTCCTAAGTAAAATGTATTATTAATTTGTGTGTTTTACGACACCGAATCAATTTTTTTTTCATTGTATTCAATGAAGATAAATGTGATGTGTAACCAACTGTTATCTCCGTGGTTAAGCTTAACAAAACGATATCTTCGTAATGTCTTTCTGAAGTGAATGATATAAAACAGTACATGTATAAATTAAGGTTGTGTTGTTTTCAATGTACCTGGGCATTGACGGAGATTTCACATATCTTCCACCTAATCCCTGGCTTCTGTATATGTTAGATTTGTATGTACATACTGGTTGTAATAATAAACATTTCTATAACCGGGTGTTATTTTTGTCGTGTGGTTGTTTGAGTGCTCAAGTCATATTCTTGAAAGTCTATTCATAGAGAGAGACAAACTACACATGCAGAAATAGTCTTTAAAAAGCAAGCGTCTTTTTTTTTACTTAGTGTGGTTTAACTTAAATTACTAATATTTCTAAGTCACCTTAAAAATTCATAACTTTTAAAATTTATACAAAAGTGTTATAATTATCAAAATTACGGCCCATTTTTCTTTTGTTAAGGAGCCATGAAAAAGATGAGCAATTGATATACGTCTTAATTGCAGGTTGTGTTAATTACTATTGCAGTGTTTGTAAGACAAGTAGAAATCTTTTTCATCAAACCTAAAAAAGAAAGAAAAAAAAAAGACTTAAATCAAAGTTCTTTTTCGAAATAAAATATTCTCCCCTTCGGTTTTATTTAGTTGTGAGAGATAACAGTATCGTTGTCATTTACAACATTTGTATCTTAGGAGGTTTCAATATCGTTTACAACATTTATATTTTAAAGTTTCAATATCGTTTACAACATATACTTCTTAGGAGGTTTAAATATCGTTTACAACATTTATACCTCGGGAGCTTTCAATATCGTTTACAACATATACTTCTTAGGAGGTTTAAATATCGTTTACAACATTTAAACCTTAGGGGGTTTAAATATCGTTTACAACATATACTTCTTAGGAGGTTTAAGTATCGTTTACAACATTTATACCTTAGGGGGTTTAAATATCGTTTACAACATATACTTCTTAGGAGGTTTAAATATCGTTTACAACATTTATACCTTAGGGGGTTTAAGTATCGTTTACAACATATACTTCTTAGGAGGTTTAAATATCGTTTACAACATATACTTCTTAGGAGGTTTAAATATCGTTTACAACATATACCTCTTAGGAGGTTTAAATATCGTTTACGACATATATATTCTATGAGGTATAAATATAATTTACAACATATATGTGTATCTTAGGAAGTTTAAATAAAGTTTACAATATTCGATTTGTGAACCGTGTTTGCAATACAGTGCCAAGCAATTCATGTTAATAGTATTCAATGAATTACTTTTCCAATTAAAGAGAAAT